AGCGCGGGCAGCAGCAGGCTCCCGCTTGAGTTATAAAGTGTGAAACGTGAAAGTGACGAGGTCCTGGGAGGGATGTTTCGATGAAAGCTGTGCCTGAAGAGCTGCACGAGTGACTGCGGGCAGGTTTTGAGCCGCAGGTGAACTTCTGAGCACGTTAGAAATGTTCTTGTTCTGGAACCTGCAGCTGATGTTTCAGGTTAAAACACTGAAACAAAGATGATAGAAATATGCAAAGTTATGGTGACATTAGATGCTTGAGTCTTGTCATGCATGTTTCTGATCCAGCTCCGTGCCGTGAAGCAGAGGCTGCAGGAGATGAGGACGGCCGGCCTGTGATTGGTCAGCTGACAGTGAGAGACACTTCAGGGCGACACTGACGAGCCGCTCGCGCTCTTTCCGAGGATCGATTCAAACAGCATCACAAGGAAAGAGGCGCTCGCACGCTCCACAGGTTTGCATATGCAAGCGATGCTGCGGGAGACCAGCACCTCGTTTCTAAAGCAGAGCTTGTGTTTGGTCTCCAGGATAAGCTGGGCAAACTATCCAACAGTACTTTCCATGGAAGCGACCGGCTGTGTCCCGCTGTTGCAGAAAGCCTGCTTTGCATACGCTACAGCCTCATTTAAATGTTCGAGCCCTACAGCAACGATACAGTAAGGGTCAGGCTCTCAGGATTTGAGATGCTGCTCGGTGAGGCTTTCAAAGCTCAGCTTCAAAATCAGGAAAGAGAAATCTTCCTGAAACATCCGGCTCAGGCGGAGCCGAGCATTTCTCAGAGAGCGGTCTCCGAAATCTCAGCGCGCCTCCCTCTAAACGTCTCCGTATACCCCAGACGGGTCCTGCAGTAACACGCTGAATGATCCACCAGCATCGTGCTGATCATCTTTTTAATACAGCCTTCGTTATTATCCAACAACAATCCAGACAACAGAGGCACATTTCTCTTTATGTGTCATGTTTTCCATCTTTGAGTACAGTTGTTGTGCCTTTAAGGTTATTTTCTCACCCGTCTTCCTCTTTTCTCATCTGTCTGTTTTCGCCTTTTTATTTCTGTCCTGCTCTCAGACTCGGAGCTGAACCACAAAGAGTTTCACAGGGAAGTTCAGATCCTAAAGCGTCTGCGCCACCGTCACCTCATCTCGCTGTTCGCCGTGTGCACGGCGACCATGCCGTACTACATCATCACCGAGCTGATGGAGAAGGGCAGCCTGCTCAAGTTCCTCAGAAGTAAACCTCAGCTTTGTTCAGTGTGCTGCTTTATGGTTACAGCCTCAGCATCGAGCTCAGCGGGCGGTCAGCAGGGGGCGCTCTCTGTTCTGTTCTCAGGGAAACAAACTCAGCTTTCAAACTGACAGCTGCTGCAAAGCCTCGGAAGCGTGTCAGATATTTACACACGTATATTTATATTCAGCAAAGGGAGGGAGACATTTCAGAGATGGATTTGATATCTCAGATAGAGATTTCACATATCTGACATCAATTTTATATTCCCGAGACGTCATGTTTGTGATCTGGTCCCAGTTTCTGGGTTACAGCTCCTGACCCTCCTCTTACCGCTGGAACCA